TACACGACGCTCTTCCGATCTCCCCAAAACCCCAAAACCCCATGAGTTTTCATATAGAAAAATGATTGATAATTTAAATATATTGGATCGTAAAATAAACTTACTTATATAGTAATTTAATTTTAAAGATAGAATTTTTGAAAATGGATAAACGCCCTATCGTAAGAAGTTTAGATTTCAATAATTCAAAATTAGAGCGGTAAAGGTGAACGTTTGGAAATTGCAAAGCGCAAATACGAGATGTTTCAAAACAGACAAGACAAGCTTTAAGAAATGGATAATATCTTGACAGTAAGTAAATTGCTAAGAAAGAGTAGAAATTTGATGTGAAATTTATTTGAAATCAATTTAAATGTGCACAGTTTCAATTCTTTTAAGAATTTTTCTGATAAGTGGTCTGATATTTAAAATTCTATAGGGGAAACAAAAAGAAACAATTGTTCCAAAGCCTGGTGAATTCGTTGTAGTTAGTACTGATAAGAAATTCGATCCCAGTGCTGAGCTTTCATTAGGTCTTGATGATCTTTTGGATAGCGCTAGACAAACAATAAAATCAAGATTAGAATCAGCTAGAAAATCAAGTAAACACAAGGTAGTTGGAAGAGGGAAATCTAATTCAACCCTAGGTCAAGCTGGAGCTGCCAGTATAAATCAAAAGAAGTCAAGTATGTCTATGCAGAATGATGATAACCTTCTATCATCAATTTCAAGTGTAACAATATTAACTTTAAAGAACTTTAATATAGCAACCCCAAAGAAGATTTCCAATGGCTGGTTTTGGCACAGTTAAAGAAAAGGTGTTTCAATAGCATTAGCAGTAGCTAGGGTCTTAATAAGATAAAGGAGGAGAGAATTCTGATAAGACGGGCTCCATTTCAAATAATGATCTAGGAACAATGTCTCAAAAGAACATGATGATAAGTGGATCAATTAGTAATAACACTAATGATTAGTATATTTACTCTGCAAGGTTGGGAACTGGAGCTTCTCATAGATTTTTGAATCCATAACCTATAAATGAAACAATCGAGGAGTAAGAAGTAATAATTGAGAAGCAGAAATAGCTTGTCCAGAATCCTGATATGAAAACTTCGATGACAACTAGCATCAGAAATATTATGAGAAAATAAGACAAAGAAATGCTTACTCAATCTAGCAGACTTTTACACTCATAGCTGGAAGCTTTTGAACAGTAAATGATTCAAAGACAGTAAACAATCTAAGCAATAGATTAGTAGAAGTCAACCCTAGAGCTCTTGCAGAACAAATTGCATTAACACTAAAAATCCTCAACAAATATGCAGACTATGCTCCCATCATTAAGCAGGTCTGGAATTGGCCTTCAAGGCAATATTACTACTCAGTCAGGCGTAGACTAATCTCAAACTCACAGAGCTTTAAGCAGACCTGGCTCAGCTTATATACTTTTTGGTGGTGATAAAGATGCTTTGAAGTCAGCTAAAAACAGAATGAACATCAAGGGCTCCAGATAAAGGGATATCATTTCAAATTCTAACCACAGCTACAAACCTCAACCCTAGAAATTCTAACTGGAAAAGATCAAAGATCCATCAGTAGCATCGCATGTCAAAGTTCCAGTATTACCGAATCTAGTGTAGTATCAACAGCAAATGCTTAAGGAAAGAGATCCCACTTCTCCATTTCTATAGGATACTGATATCGCTCCAATGATTATACAGGAGGAGAATCCAAGAGTTACTCACTCTCCCTCACATTAGAGAATGTATGAGGAAATGGAAGAACGAATCAGAAATAGGGAAAAATCTCCCATGAGATACTCTTATAACCTAGACTCGCTAAAGACAATTCGCTAGCAAAGTGGAAGCCCGTCTAGACAAAACTCTAGGTCTGGCACGAGACTCAAGAGGAATAAGACTAAAATGGCGTCCATAGGAAATACAACTAATGCTCAAACAAGTCAACTTGATGGGGAAGAATCAAGAATCGCCAAGAAAAAATTCCTTCCAATCGATGCTTATGACCCTTTGATCGATTCTGAGGATCCTTATCGAATTATTATGGAATACCGAGATCACTATGCAGGCAAAACTTTTGCCAAGTCTAAATGGTTCTATGCTAACGGTGACTCAGAGTTTAAATAATGTGAAGTAGTAAAATATCTGCCAGATGAAGAGCTCTATGAAATAAAATGGCTTTCTAATGATACAAATAAAAAGGTCTCAAGATTCAATCTGATATTCTAAAATGAGGATGAATAGGCCTTTAATAGAAGAATTGCTGAAGCCAGAAAGCATAGAGAAGATGCAGAGCTCATAATGAAATACTACTACATGATCCAAAATACTAAGATACCCAAATTTGAGATAGATGATGAGCAAAAGACCAGAATATCCTATTACATAGCTTCATTCAAATCTAATCAAGCCAACATTAAGGGATATAAATTTAGAGATCCCTCCGAATTTTTAGAGAGACCATCATCACTCAGATACGTAATGCCTCCAGAAAGCAGTTTTAAAAAGCCTAATTTCAACTCAAACGTAGAAGATATCCATAGAGATTTCTTGGTCCATAAATATAATTTGTCCACACTTGGAATACTGTTTAAAGAAATGGATCAAGATTACTCTAGGACTCATAAGTAAATCTACTTCGATTCCTAACTACCATTCTCAGCTGAAAAGTATACTATATTCAAGAACATATTACCCAGAGAAAAGTTCATACCGGTAAGTGAAAGAATCATTGGTGAGACAGAACGAAAAGGTCTGATTGAAATTCCTAAGAGACAAATACCTTTTAAGGATTTACTCTCAAATATGAAGCAGAAATTGCATTAAGCCAATTAAGAAAAACTCGAATCATTAATGAGAGTAAATTCCAACATGATAAGATTTGCTCCAATGGCATTCTTTAAAACTAACTATAAGTCTGCTTAAACGAAGGAAATGTTTCTCATGACAAATAGAGTCTAAGCTGGAGATGTTATCAGAGAAGTTAGAAACTGTATGTTTGACTCTCAGTATGAGATCCATTCTATGATTGCAACTGAAGCAAAAAGAATCAAAGAAATTAATAATCAGAGAAGAAAGGCTGCAAGCTATCAGTCTAAACCATTGTAAGATACTTTATAGGCTTTAATTTATTTTAGTAAAGAGGAGTAAATCCCAGATACTTTTGTTAATGAAATGTCTCAATTTTAGATACTACTAAATATGCTATATGAAAGAGCAGTGAGATAATGCTTTGAAAATTCGATTGCTATTCTGATTTAAAGCTTATTAGAGATTAGAGGATACATGAATGACTCAATTTAAAAGGATATTAGTACTGAAGAAGCTATTAATGAAAAAGATTGTCTCCATTTGGCTATGGATCCAGTTCTGGCTAAAAGATTAGAAAAGAATTTTAAGCTGAAAATCCAAGTAGTCTTTAATAAGGAAAGAGGTACAGTAGAATTATCTCCTCCAGTATCTGAATGGCTCAATGATATCACCAAACTAATCTACTATGATACCGAATAAATATCCCTAGTGCCTTGCTTCTCAGCTAATGAAATTGGAAGTGCAAGAGAGGGTAACAAGGTAAAGATATTCTAAGATAAGGATGAGTTCGTTGAAAAGTCTATTTCTAAAGTTATTGAAATCCTTGCATAATTATTCAGGATACCCTAAGAGGTGGAAAGGATTATTGCTTAATACTAGAAAATTTTAGCAACAGATATCTCGAAATTCAAAAAGGAATACAAAATCAACGACTATCCTGTGGAAAAATACAAGGATGAACTTGAGGCTAACTAGAGAGCAAAGGACCATATTGAGAGAGTACTTTTCGAGGATAAAATTAAATGTGGGTTCTTTTAAATTAATGGAAGCCACATAAAGAAGCAGTTTCTAGATAGAATTGATTAACTGAATAAAGTACTATTCCAATGTGTCAAAAAGAAGATTGATCAGACCAATGGATTAATTGAAAAGGAGGTCGAGTTCATACTGTCAATAATTAATAAAGAACCTATTGAAAACATTGAAGAGTTAACTGATATCAATGACTTCTTAAATAATCTTGACAAGAAGATGCTCTCAATCAGAGATCTCATTAATGATGTGATGGGTAAAATGGGTCTATTAGAGGAATATCAATACAAATTACTTGAAGAGGAGTTCACAAGAACTTGGATATCTTTCTCAAAGCCTTTAGAAATATTCAGAGCTGAATTTGATTGCAGAAGAAGAATGAAGCGGGATGAAAGAGATTTCTTCCAAGACCTTAGATTGATGAACGAGAAACTGCTTAAGGACTTTGATGAAATCAAGATTGAATTCGATATACTTCAAAGAAGCGAAGAGCTTACAGAGTACGAAGACTCAGTCATCAAGTGTGATATTCTATATGATAAGATTGAGAGAGCTTTGGCAATTGCTGAGGTAGCCAATAGAAGAGAAGGATTATTTAAATTAAAGAAAACTGACTTCACTGAAATTGATCAACTAAAAGCCCAATTTATTCCTTATAATACAATGTGGAATCTTGCTAGAGATTATTTCTATAAGATTGGAACATGGATGAATGGGCCATTATGTGATATTGATAGAGATAAGATAACCACAGAGATAACTGAAGCCTGCTAAAATCTGATTAGATTAGAAAGAGTTGACTTTAAAGAAAGAAGATCTACTGGCATTGTTTGTGTCTAACTTAGAAAATACTATGAAGACTTTAAGCCATTCCTTCCTTTAATTATTGCCTTAAGAAATCCAAGTTTGAAAATGAGACACTGGGAGAATATGCAAAAGCTCAAGAATCCACCATTCACAGAAATTGAGCACGAACTTCATGTTAGTATTCAGGAATTAGTAGATAAGGGAGTAATGGATATAATCGAGGAGATTAATGAAATTTCAGATTTTGCTTCCAGAGAGAAGAAATTGGAGGATTCTATTTCTAAGATGAGAGATGAATGGAAACATATCAAGTTTGATCTAGTAGAGTTTAGAGATTCAGGTACATATTGCTTAAAGGGGGCTGAGCCTATTTGGGATCTTCTTGACGAGCATATTATGAAAACTATGACTATCGCTTCTTCACCCTATATTAAATTCTTACAAGCTGAAGTTAACTTCTGGAAAACTACTTTAATCAAGGTCTAAGAAATATTAGAAGAGTGGACTAAAGTCTAGAGAGGATGGCTTTATCTTTGGCCCATTTTCAGTTCAGAAGATATATAGAGACAGATGCCAATCATTAGTGCTAGTTTCTAGACTGTGGACAAGATTTGGAGAAATATAATGATGAACACACATTAAAACCCTAATGTACTTGATTCATGTCTTCAAAGTAGAGTGTTTGAAAACTTTTAGTCTTGCAATGAAATGATTGATCGCATCTAAAAGGGGCTCAATGAGTATCTAAATACCAAGAGAATGGCATTCCCAAGATTCTTCTTCCTATCGAATGACGACTTATTGCATATTCTCAGTTAGACTAAGGATCCTCTGAGAGTTCAGGATCATCTTAATAAATGTTTTGAAGGAATCGATAAACTAGAATTCGAATAAGGAAGTTCAAAGGTCATTAAGGGTATGTACTCTTCAATGGGAGAGTATATTGAATTCATAAAGCATATTGATCCTTTCAATAGGGAGACTAATGAAGTTAGAAATGTTGAAGAGTGGCTTACAGATGTTGAAGTTCAAATGAGAGATAGCTTAAGAGACTTAGTAAAGAGGAGTTCAGCAGATTACTCAGTAGAAAACAGAAAGAATTGGCTTTTCAACTGGTCGTCTCAAATAGTATTGACCTTAGATTAAGTATTTTGGACTATTCTAGTTGAGCAAGAGGGAATTACACAAATGAAGACAAATCCTTCTGCTATGAAAGATGTATACCACTAAGAGGAATAAAAACTTTAAGAACTTGTTACTTTAATCAAAGATTCAGATAATCAATCACCAACTTCAGTTCTTACCTTAGGAGCACTAATAGTACTAGATGTACATTCGAAAGATGTTACAAAAGACTTAGCTCTTGCTTAGGTCGACAATTTAGCTGCATTTGATTGGATGTGCTAACTTAGATACTATGTTCAAGATGAAGTGCTCACAAAAGGAAAAGAATCTCCATTAGAGATTAATGTAAAAATGGTGTCAAGCAGCAGACTTTATGGATTTGAATACTTAGGAAATCAAACAAGACTGGTTATTACCCCATTAACTGACAGATGCTATAGAACATTGATGGGAGCTTTATAATTAAACTTAGGAGGAGCACCTGAAGGGCCAGCTGGTACTGGTAAAACTGAAACAACCAAAGATTTAGCCAAGGCCTTGGCAAAGCAATGCATTGTCTTCAATTGCTCAGATCAACTGAATGTTGAGGGAATGGCTAAATTCTTCAAAGGGCTTGCTTGTTGTGGCGCTTGGGCATGCTTCGATGAATTCAATAGAATTGAACTAGAAGTATTGTCAGTTATTGCATAACAAATTCTAACGATTTAATCAGCTTTAATGAGAAGAAGACCTTAAGCACCATTCTTATTTGACGATGAACAGATTCCTATGAATCCAACTTGTGCAGTATTCATTACAATGAATCCAGGTTATGCAGGAAGAAGTGAACTGCCAGATAATCTAAAAGCCTTATTTAGGCCTGTAGCTATGATGATTCCAAATTATGCAATGATTGCTGAAATTTCTCTTTACTCGTTTGGGTTTCAGAATGCTAGAGAACTTAGTGTCAAAATTACATAATCTTTGAGATTGGCAAGTGAGTAACTATCAACTTAATCGCATTATGACTATGGTATGAGAGCAGTTAAATCAATCATCCTTGCTGCTGGAGGTTTAAAGAGAGATTACTAAGATGAGGATGAAAGCAAACTCGTTCTTAGAGCTATTAGTGATTGCAACATCCCTAAATTTATTACAGAAGATATTCCACTATTTGAAGGCATCATTTCTGATCTTTTCCCAACTACTGATAAGAGTAAGCCAAATTATCAAGGATTATAAAGAGCCATAAAGGAAGTGCTTATGGTAAGGAATTTGGAAGAGAATGAAGAGTTTGAGACAAAAACTATTCAATTATTTGAGACAGTTTAAGTAAGACATGGTCTAATGATGGTCGGAGGAATAATGAGTGCCAAGACTACAGTCATTAATACTTTGGCTGAAGCATTAACTCTAGTAAACAAAGATAATTCAGAAGATCCAAATGATTACGAAAAAGTTAAAATTAACACTATAAATCCTAAGTCTATCTCAATCGATTAACTCTATGGAGGTTTCGATAAGATCTCTCACGATTGGAGTGATGGAGTTTTAGCTACTGTGATTAAGGATTGTGCAACAGATAAAAGTGGAAACAGAAGATGGATCTTACTAGATGGACCAGTCGATGCTGTTTGGATTGAAAATCTCAATACTGTTCTTGATGATAACAAAAAGCTTTGTTTATCCTCTGGAGAGATAGTAAAGTTTACTCCTAAGATGACTATGATGTTTGAAGTTGAAGACTTGCTTGAAGCCTCACCAGCTACAGTATCCAGATGTGGAATGGTATATCTGAATCCTGAAAAACTAGGCTGGCATGTTTAAATCCTCCCTTGGATTCAGAGTCTACCATCATAGCTTAAAGCAGATGGTAGATTGCAAATTTACAGCGAGCTGATTGGCTATATGGCACCAAAGGTAATTGGCTTCTTATTTGGCTATGATCAAACTGTTGAAGAGGAAAAGAGACTAGAAAGTTTGAAAACAGTCATCTAAGTAACTAAAAATTGGAGCTTTAGATCTTTCTTAGCATTATTCGAATCATTATTGCTTAAGAATGAAACTAGAGACAGTCTTCAGAAGAAAGAGCAAGAGTAAAAAGACAGAGAAGAGGCTAAAAAGAAGTATGAGGAGATGTAAGGACTCAATAGGCAAGATACAATTAAAAGAAAGTAAAAAGATGAGAAGAAGTTGTCTGGTAACTAAAAGACTGAAATATTCAATTTATTCTTAATGGCACTAAGTTGGGGATTCGGTGCTCCACTTCACACTGGTGGTCGCCTCTAGTTCAGTGAATACCTGATTGGTGAAGTTTAAAAAATATTTTCCAATCCATCTGCAAGTTTTAGCTTTGGAGATGAATTAGTCAAGAGAATGGTGCTTGATGAAAGTGGAGACTTCTTTAGCTACTACTATGATTCTGATAGAGAGTTTTGGGTTAGATGGGATTATGACTTGGAAAAGTATGACATTCTAGGAAATCTTAATAACTAACAAAAGCCAACTGAGGATGAATACGGGAATCCCATAGAATAAGTAGAACAAGAAATTGAATTCTAAAGCATTATGGTCCCAACTGAGGATACAATAAGGTACTCGTACTTATTAAATGCTTTGGCAAATCATTCATTCCCTGTGCTTTTCATAGGTGAAACTGGTACAGGAAAAACTGCTACTATAAAGAAATTCTAAAATCAAATTCTTTCTAAGGATGAATGGGAAAATGGCTAAATGGTACTCTCCGCCACTTCTACAGCATTCCAAGTTCAAGATTATATTTAAAGCAAGGTAGAGAAGCAAAAGAAAGGAGTTTTTGGACCAAAAGTCCCAGGCAGAAGACTTCTTATTTTTGTAGATGACTTAAACATGCCAGCTAAAGAGAAATATGGAGCTCAACCTCCTATTGAAATGCTAAGACAGACTATTGATAGTGGTGGCTTCTATGACCTTAAGGAAAACGAACTAATCAAGATAGTGCAGGTCACATTTGTTGCATCAATGGGCATCCCAGGTGGTGGAAAAACACTACCTACTAAAAGACTAATGAGGCATTTTAACCTGATACACATTCCCCCCTTTTCAAGTGAAAATTTGTACAGAATTTTCAGCAAGATTCTAGAATGGGGATATGCTGAATATCCTGAACAATGGTAAAAGCAAATTAAGATGATTACTAAGATAACAATTGCTCTTTATGAAAGAGCAGTTTAAGTTTTGTTGCCATTGCCCTCCAAAAGTCATTATCTATTTAATCTAAGATAAGTCTCTGAAATAGTGCAAGGTCTACTAATGGTCCCTGAATAAGTAGTGGCATAAACTGAAGATAAATAGAGGATTGGGTTATTGTAGAGATTATGGATACATGAAAGTGTCAGAGTATACTCTGACAGATTAATTAATGATGACGATAAGAAGCTATTTATGTAAACTCTGATTGATACAGTTAATACAGTCCAATTTAACTACATCGATTTCACAAAGTTTAACCCCGATGGAATAATATTCAATAACTTTGTCAAATATTAGCCAGCAGATCCAATCTATGATGAAAGCAAGGGCTTGGAGAAAATGAAAGAGACTATATCTTAGATCTTAGATCATTATAATATTGTTCATAAAGACAAAATCAACCTGTTGCTCTTCGACTATGTGATTCAACATCTGAGTAGAATATCAAGAATTATTTACAAGCCATATGGTAATGGGCTCCTTATTGGATTAGGTGGCAATGGCAGAAAGAGTTTGTCAAGATTAGCAGCTTTCATTAATGAATGCCAGATGTTTAAAGTGGAGATTACAAAAAGTTATGGTAAATATGAGTGGACTGAAGATCTTAAATCGCTTTATAAGAGTTTAGGTATGGATAACAAGAAGTTAGTGTTTACTTTCGCTGAATCAGATATAAAAGAAGAATTCTTTATCGAGGATCTAAACAATATATTGAATGTAGGGGAAGTACCTAATTTGTATACAGCTGATGAGATTGAAGAAATCAAGTATGAAATGGGAAAAATTGTAAAGAAAAGAGAAGGTGATCCTTATGAGGTATTTGTTAAAAGAAGCAAGAAAAATCTTCATTTGCTACTTTATATGAGCCCAGCTGGTCAAAAGATGCGATAATACATTAGACAATATCCTTCATTAGTTAATTGTACAAGTATAGACTGGTTCTTATCCTGGCCAGAATAGGCATTGTAGACAGTTAGCAACTTTTTCTTACGAGATTCAAGTCTATTTGAGTTTAAGAAACCAAACATGGTTAAAAGAGTCAAAGTATCAATAGAAAATGAAGAAAATCAAGATCTACTAAATAAAAGTAATATAGATCTTATAAACACTGGAGATAATAATGGAATCATGACTCCTAAGGAAATTGAATATGAGATTGTAGAAGAGTAACTTTTACCTGAAGAGCTTGAACATAATTAGCAAATGGAAGAATTGCAGAATAAAGTAGCAGATATATATGTCAAACTCCACAATGCAGCCTTGAACTTAGCTCAAAGTTACTAAATAGAAAAGGGTCGCTAGGTATATATCACTCCAACTAGATTTATTGAGATATTTAAGCTATTCGAAACCATAATGAAGAGGAAGCATTAATAACTAGATGATGAAAGAAATAAGTATTTGATTGGTATTCAGAAATTGGAAGAAGCAAATATCATTGTTGATAAAATGAAAGAGCAACTAGAAGATCTTAAACCAGTGTTGGAACAAAAGAGCAAATAAGTAGAAGCTACTATGATATTCTTAGATAAGGAAACAAGAGAGGTTGAAGCAGTCAAGGCTGTAGTAGATGCCGAAGCATAGATTGTGTTCTAGCAAAAAGAAGTGGCTGAGGGCATCAAGAATGAATGTATGTCTAGACTTTCCGAAGCCTAGCCGCTTCTTGATGAGGCTCTAAGAGCTTTAAAGACTTTGAATACCAAAGATTTTGTTACGATGAAATCTTACAATTCTCCTCCAGCTCCTATTAAGTTAGCTCTAGAAGCATCTTGCATCATGCTAGGTGTGGCGCCTAAATATATTGAGGGCCCAGTTGATAAGACTACTAAAAAGGCAAAAAAGATACCAGATTATTGGGAAAAGTCCAAGAAACTCCTTAATGATTATAAGAAGTATATTGGAAGTCTTGAAAACTATGATAAAGATAACATTCCTGAAGATAGAATTTAAAAGATCTAAGAATATCTGCAAAATCCGAAATTCGTCCCAGAAGAAATTAGAAAAGCATCCGAGGCTGCTGAAGGTATTTGCAAGTGGGTTATTGCTGTTTGCAAATATGATATTGTGGCTAAAGAGATAAGACCAAAGAGGGAAGCTTTAGGTTTAGCCTAAGATAAACTCGGAGTAGTACTTAAACAATTGTAAGAAAAAGAAGCAGAACTGTAAAAGATCATAGATAAGAAAAATGTACTAGAAGAGGAGTTTAAGAATCAAAACTTTGAAAAGTAAAACTTGATCATGCAAAGAGATGAATGCTAAGCTAAGCTGAACAGAGCTAGCATTCTAATGAACAGTTTGGGAAATGAGAAGGAGCGATGGATCAAGACAAGTGAGAGACTGCTAAGAGAGAAAAGAAGTTTACTAGGTGATATGATTATAAGTACAGCTTTCGTAACCTATATGGGACCATTTGAGGGTTCTTATAGAGAAAGGATCGTTCACTAAGACTGGAGAATCATTGTATCATAATAAGATATTTTAGTAGGAGATAGATTTAATCTGAAGGATACTATCGGAATTCCTAGTTTAATTTAGTAATGGTAAATCAAAGGTTTACCTTCTGATAATGTTTCAATAGAAAATATGATAATAATGGAAGAAACTAAAGAAAAATGGCCATTAATAATAGATCCTTAAGGTTAAGCATTAAAATTCCTGAAAGAGCATCTTGGAGATAATGATTGCATAACTATTAAGGTGTAATAAGAAAATTATAGCAGAAAACTTGAAGCTGCGATGGCCTAAGGTTATACAGTACTTTGTGAAAATTTAGGAGAAAGCTTTGATCCAGCTATCAATGCAATAATTAATAAAGAAATTTTCGACATTCAAGGCGATAAATACATAAAATTCAATGATAATCAGGTAGAATATAATGACAAATTCACATTCTTTATGGTGTCAAATCTCAATAATCCTCACTTTACCCCTGAGATTCATACTAAGACTAGAATCTTGAATTTTTCAGTCACAAAAGAAGGTCTTGAGCAATAGCTACTCTCTATAGTATGCAGAAATGAAAGTGCAAGAGATGAGGATGAGCGAGACAAAATCTAAAGATAAAACATTGAATTCAAAGATTAAAAGAGAACAATAGAAGATTAAATCTTACTTTAGCTTTCATAGTCTGGACAAGATATTCTTGATGATGATTCTCTCGTAAATTCTCTTAATGAGAGTAAGAAAATTACTGACGATATCAAGGTTAAGCTTAAATCTGCAAAAGTAATTGAAGAACGTATTGAGGAAAACAGAAAGAACTACAAACCTGTGGCAAAGCATGGTGCCAAACTTTACTTCTGTGTCTAAGAACTTCCAGCCTTGGATCCAATGTATCAGTTTTCAATGAGATGGTTCAGAGATTTATTCGTGTAAAGCTTCACCTACAGCCCTGAAAAAGTTAAGGACACTAAAGGCAGAGTGAAGTAACTCAAACAAGATTTCTTAAAGGTACTCTACGCTAATGTTTGTCGAAGTTTATTCGAATAGCACAAAATTATGTTCGCTTTCAGTATGGCTATCAAGTTAAATGAAGAAGATGATGATCATTCAGGAGGATCAGGAGATGCCCCAGGCTTAAAGATGAGAGAAGTAGAAATGCTTTAGTCATTACATCCTACTGGAACTTAAAATGCCAGTTCTCATGGACATAGTATTAAAAAGAATACCAAATCTATTGTTGACAAAAAGAGTGATACAGGTTCATAAGTCGGTGTTTCATTGATAGCCTAGTAAATGCAATAGAAAAATGATGAGGAAAGACTTAGAATTCCAAAAGAAGAACTTAGATACTTATTGACAGGACTAGTCTCTCCCGACGTTGAGGTTGAGGAAAGAACCAACCCTGTTGAGTCGTTTATGGACAACAAGACTTGGCAATCTGTTATGGAACTCGCTACTCTAGATCATTTCGAAATGCTACCTGAGGAAATAGAAAGAAATCCAGTTGCTTGGAAGAGATTCATTCAAGTCTCAAATGAACCAGTGCCTGAGCCATTTAATAATCTCTTACCAGATTTTGCAATGATACTAATGCACAAAATTTTAAAGCCTGAGAAGACTATTCAGATGATTCAGAAGTACATTGAAAAAGCATTAGGATCTTTCTTCAATAAGCCAATCATATTCTCATTGGAAGAGGTATTCGTTGATAGTAAACCACACATACCAATAATTCTCATCTTGACACCAGGTAATGATCCTATGGAATAGATTAAGAAATTCGGTGAGGAGAAAAACAGAATGCCATATCCTGTCTCCCTAGGTAAGGGATAGGGAGAAAAAGCAAAGGCTCTGATCAATGAAATAAAATAATATGGTGGCTGGGTAGTGCTGTAAAATTGCCACTTAGCAACTAGTTTCTTACCTGAGCTTGAATAGTTGATAGAATCCATTCAGCCTTCAGCCTTCTAATCTTCAAGCAAGAATAAATTGGATGATGATAAGGACAATAAAAAAGATGTGAGACCTCCAAATCCAGAGTTTAGACTTTGGCTGACTTCAATGTCGGATGATAAATTCCCATTCAGTATTTTACAAAACTCTATTAAGCTGACTAGCGAACCTCCAAAAGGATTGAAGTCCTCATTAATTAGATCCTACACATAGATTGAATCCTCAAAAGCAGAAAAAGAATTCTTTATGAATAATAGCAAGCCTGACTAATGGAAGAAACTATTCTTGGCACTCTCCTTCTTCCATGGAATAGTAAGAGAAAGAAGAAGATATGGGTCATTAGGTTGGAATTTAAGATATGATTTTAATGATTCAGACTTCAGAATTTCAATGAGATAGCTACATTTAATGATTGACACATTTGATTAAATACCATTTACTGCTCTCTAATACCTTACTGGTGAATGCAACTATGGCGGAAGAGTAACTGATGATTGGGATAGAAGAACTTTGATTACTATTCTGAAAGATTTCTACAATAAGAAATGCTTAAAAACCTAACATGAATTTGCTGTTGGGCTGAAGGAATACTATATCATGCAAGAGGGTGAATTTGATGAATACTCTGAGTACATTAGAAATCTCCCAGATGAAGAGTCACCTCTTTTAGTTGGATTAAATGATAACGCTAATATAACCTATGCTATTAATGAAGCAACAACTATAATCTCAGATGTTCTTAGAATTTCTGCAAATTCTGGATCCGACTAATCAGGAGGCTCTCAGTCTTTACAAGCAATGAAAATGGCTAAAGAAATTCTCTACCAAATTAGAGAACCATTTAAGATCAAAGAGGTTGAGAAGAAATTCCCATTCAGATATGAGGAATCAATGAACTCAGTACTATTACAAGAGTTAGCTAGATTCAACACTCTAATTGAAGTTGTAAAGTCATCTCTTGAGATATTGATCAAGACTCTTGAAGGTAAATTGGTGATGAACCTAGAAATAGAAAGAATGCTCAAGAGTATTATGAATAATACAGTCCCTGATAACTGGAAAGCAAGATCCTACCCAAGCAAGAAACCTTTGCTATCCTATATTAAAGATTTCTAGAAAAGATTACAGATGCTCGATGACTGGATTCAACATGGATAGCCCAGTAATTTCTGGATTTCAGGATTTTTCTTCACTTAATCTTTCCTAACTGGCGTTAAATAAAACTTCGCAAGGAAATACAAATATCCAATAGATAAAATAATCTTCACGTTCAAGGTTTTAAAATACGAGGACAATATTTCTAAACAACCAGAAAATGGTTGCGTCGTAAAAGGACTCTATCTGGAAGGAGCTGGATGGAATAACAAGTAATCTATACTTGAAGAATCTTAGCCTAAGGTACTCTTTGTTGAGTTGCCACCAATGCACTTCCTTCCCATCATATAGGAGGAAGTTAGCCTAGAAAAGCCAATTAACATAAAGAAAAAAGATGATGATGAGCAGGAATCAGATCATGATAGTGAATAGGAAGATAAAAAGTAATAAAAATTACTTAAACACTATACTTGTCCTGTCTATAAGACAAGTCAAAGAGCAGGCACTCTTTCTACTACTGGTCACTCTACGAATTATGTAAGCTAAATTATTGTGATTTATAATTTTATAGATACTATGCACAGAGATTCCAACATTTGAGGAGCAAGACATATGGGTTAAGAGAAGTGTTGCAATGCTATCTCAGCTTGATGACTGATATTTTTAACTAGAGATTACTAATTATAATTTGGATTATTACATTAGATATTTAATAGATAAATTTTATAATTATATGTCTTAAATCTAACAAATTGATAATAAGGGGTTTTGGGGTTTTGGGGTTTTGGGG